GCCTCAACCTGGGCACTTTGGGCAGGTTCCTGGTTAGGTGAGGTGCGTTCCTCTACCTGCTCAGGCACCGAAGAAGAGGCTGGCTCAGGTGAGGTCTTCTCAACCTGTGTTGTAGCGGCCGGGCCTAGTGTATCCGGCTTAGGAGAGGTGCGTTCCTCCTCCTGCTCAGGCACCAAAGGAGAGGCTGGCTCAGGTGAGATCTCCTCAACCTGTGTTGTAGCGGCCGGGTCTGGATAATCAGGCGCATTAGGAGGCGAGGTCTCCTCAGCCTGTGGATTAGAACTAGAGGCTCTTGGCGAGGACTCCTCAACCTGAACCTCCATTCTCTGACGCTTGGGCGGCGGTGGAGGTGGAGTGCGTACCTCGTGAGAGGGGCCTCAACCGACCTTGAAAAGTTCGGGCCATCAGCCGGAGGCTCCCGCTCACTGCCTGAGTGCATACTTTGTCTGGAGAACCTTGACCTCGAAATGGCAGCTTTGCCTTCTCTAAAACGCTGCTGCAAAAGGGCCTGATACCTCTGTTCCACTACCGGGTCTTCAAAAGGGGCATTCTGCCCCTTCCCTGGTTTGCCCTTCCCCTCCCCATCTTGAAGCCAAAAGCTGCGAGGAGGCTCAGACATGGAGAGTAAGCAACACCAGGTACGAGTAGCACTTAGACCAGGCTACATCTGCAGGCTTGGCACAAACAGCACCTACCCCATCATTAGTAATCAGTTTGGAGGGGAGAAGCAAAGTACGATAGTGCCCAGATGTTGGGGAATTGCCAAGGTGCGAGACGACGGCCTTGGGGTAGTAACGAAGAAGCTCCCCATCCAATCCCTCAAGCACACAGGGGTCCTCAAAGTCAACTGGGGTCTCGAGCCTCCGAAAACCCCCCCCTTCCCCAACAAAGCGCAGAAGTTGCAACGCAATCACAGGCGGGTGAGTGAGGACTTTCACTTCTCCACCTTGTTGCCAGCGTTCCAGGAGTCCCCTCATGGAGGCTTCGTGCTCCGGGAGGTGAAGAGGCAGGGGAAAAAAGTTTCCCTCGTGGTGAGGTGCATTGGGAGCAAGAGCTCTCCATGAAATGCTAGAAAGGCCACGGGGGAACCCCGTGGAGAGGTGCATGAGAAGTTGACAGACGTCATGTTGGCTGTTTGGGGATTCCCATCTACCCTGGCCTTCCACTAATCTCTTCCAAACCATTGACTGCCACAGCTCCACTTTGCGTTGATCTCGCAGCCATCTCAGAATACCTTGGATGGGGGACCCGGCAAAGGGGCTAGAAGTTTCAAGGAGCAGATCAATCCAAAGGAGACCTACCACCAAGGAGTTGGTGTAACAATGGTTGGATGGATTCTGAAATTTCACTTTGCGAACGATCGAGCCAGCTGCTCGTATGTCCCCAAGCTCCGGGCAACGGGGTTCCCTATGGGCACGGACAGCAGGAGAGGAAGGCTCAATCCTGTCTGTGTTCTGCAAGGGAGGTGACTCTTCGGAATTGACATGCTGAAGGGGAGTAACCTCAACCCTGTTAAGTGGTGTGGCAAAGAAATTGCTGAGGTTTCGGGCTTTTGGAAGGCTCTCCTTTGAAAGCTTACCTGCCTTTTTGGAAGCAGGAAGCGCCTCCGGAACCCCAACACCACTTAACAAACTCTTGGTAAACTTCGTCAGCTGGTTAGTATGCTTGCGGGTGGCACACAAGGACTGGAGGAGCCCCGGGACTTTCTTTGCCCGAGCTGGCAGAATTCCCTCACAAACTTTGCATTGCCAAGCTTTGCCAATGGACACCAACTGGCCAACTGATGGGACGCGTGGCAAACCAGATGCTCCGGGGGACGTCCTTCTTCTCCCAGGCACGGCTGTGCAAGTACCTGCTGGAACAGTGACGGGGGATCAACTTGCTGCAAATAAAGTCCACATTTACCACACATGGCAGTGAGGTTTGTCGGGTGCTGACTCCGAATTTCCCACTGGTGTCCTTTCGGAGAGACTGTTTGGCTGACGAGTTGCTCAATCTGCTGCCTTTTGTTGAGGGTTTGAGGCTTGGGCTGACGTTTGCAGAAAACTGTTTTCTTATCCTGCGTGGTAATCAAAGTCTCCGCCCTCTGACTAAGGAGCTGGGAGATGGTGCAAACCAACGTGTCTATCTGCCGGACTTGCTTCCTGGCATCAGGGTGTAAGGCTTGGTTAGCCCTTGCACCGGCTAGCTTGTCCGCTTCTTGATTCAAATGCCAACGCCAAACCTCATCTTCCCCAAACTTTTCGGCAAACTTTGCAGCGTCCAAGTGAGCCTTGACCCAATGTAGGGTTTGAGGCGAGATGTTGTGCGATTGGGGTCTCCAATACATGGAATGCTTGGATGTAACCGCCTTGGCTGCGGCTTGCTTACAGGCCACCCTTGAATCCGAGGTAAGATCCTGCAGGCCCGGGCAAAGCTCCTGGGCCTTGACAATGGCATGAACCTCCCCGTCAAGAACCGTAGCCGGCGGAGGCAAAACCCCGCTGGCAGTTGCTATAACCTTGATGCTTTGGCCCGTTTTACGTGCGAGAATCACGGCCCATCCAATGGTCCTCAATCTGGGATCCGAAGAGAATTTTCCTCCACTGGCATCTGTGCCAACGACCATATCCGGGTCCCAGGCCTGTGACGGCCATGTGCCCTCACACCTATCTTCAGAATTCTGAAGTGGTGAGGAAACGTAGGCCAGAGGGGGAAGGGCTCGCAACCAGAGGCAGGGCGCAGGATGGGACTGGCGCATCTGTTGAAGGTGTCGGGGAAGTTTTGGCTGTCTGGACCATCTGGGACAGTCCCACAACACGTGTTGCAGTGTATTGTCAGAATCAATGCCCCGATCCTTGCAGTACTGACACTTGGGGTGACCTCCACTTCCCGCGTGCACGACTGCGCCTTGCCAGATTGACTGGTGAAACGTTAAACGTTTAGTCTTCTTGGCGGCAATGCGGCGATGAATTGTAAAATCCAAACCGTCCTGAGCGCCTTGACCTCCGTGCTGGCAAGATATGGCCCGCAATCGTTCGCCCTTGATGGTAGACCGAACTTTGCGCCGCATCTCCTGAAAAAGAAAAGGGCTGAAGTCAATGTGGCATGGGTGGCCATCAATATGCCAGACTTCTGGAGACTGGACATCCCATCCCATGTCCCTGGCATACTGAATCATGGCCGAGATGGGCCCAGCAACAATTTTCCACGGGTGAGGCGAAGCCTCCAACCTGGATTTAACCAAGGGCCAAGATCTTTGAACTTCTGCCCAAATTGCTGGAGAACGGTCAAGAATGCGAAGGAAAACTTGCAAATGTTCACATATGATCTGCTCTCGGGGGTCCGGAAATTTGTGGGAGAACATCTCCAAAACGGTCAGGGTACCTCCGAGATGTTGGCGCCCAAGGCTGCCTGCCAACACGGCTCGATGCCATTTCAACCTTTTGGGACTGACACCTTGTGCCTGGTGGCCATATGTGGCACACGTCATGATGGAGCCTCGCACAACCCTAGTGCGTGAACGAGGCGAGTCGACGCCTAACGCGCGAAGGCGCTTGTGGCGGCCTTGTGCTTTCTTGCGCCTGCCAAGAAAGGTAGCCAGTCTGCGGCGTCTGCCAGCATTACTGTCGACTCCTAAGTCCTTGGCTAACAGAGTGATGCCGGGATCTTGGTCCGAGCGCAGACGCTCAAGGACTTGAGAGGTGGCAGAATCTGAGCACAAAAACTTAGTCTTCTCCAAGGAAACCTGAAGATTTCGTTCCGCAAGAGAATCTCGCAGTATACGAAATGTCTTAAGAGCTTTCTGGGCTGTGTTCGAAGCAGTGGTTCCTACCACATCGGCCGAAATGTCATCAAGCCACTGGTCGATGTTGTGAGTGAGGCCAGTAGCCTGGAGGTCCCTGATTGGGACAAACAAAGCCAGTTTAGAAACCACCGGTGCAACGGGACACCCCTGAAGCAACCCAACGGTGGGGATGATTCCCGGCGATACTGAATTTTCGGCTGAGACAAAGCGAGTCCCACCATAAATTTGAAGAGAAAGTTCCAACAGCAAAGGTGGGAATTGCAACAGGATGCCGGTGTGGACTACCGAAGCCCAAACCACACAATCGTAGAAACTTTTTATGTCAAGAAAAAGTCCTACAAAATGTTTGGACTGAGTTCTTGAGGCCTCGGCCCACAACAACCGGCGAATGCCAATGTCTAGTGATGTCCGTCCTGGCACTGCAGCATCCCACGGGGCCAGTGCTTGGTACGAAATTGTCCACTCCTGGATCAGGGACCACCTGGCTCTGCAGTAGTCCCTCCACAGAACATGAGTAAGTGAAATGGGTCTCTCCGCTGTTGCAGACTTGGACAACATACACACCTGTGTCAGAAGAAACTGCTGCGGGACTCGGAGGCCTCTCTCAAGTTCCTGGTAGAAATCAGCGAGGTCCTGAAGCATCGGCTGTGACAATTTCTTGAGGAGAGATTTGCTCCAGCCGTCCGGTCCTGGGGCAGTGACCCTGCCTTTGGAAAATCTGTCCTGCAACTGTGCCGGGGAAATGGGGCTGAGGGAAGCCACCTGCTGAGCAGCCAGTTCCCGTAACTTACCGCGAGCCTGTTGCTCAGCGTGTGGAAGAGGAGGAAGGTCCTCAACTCTAAGTACACCTTTCCAAGTGCGAAGCCACAGTTTGGTCCTAGCCAGCGCGCGGACCTCAGCAGATAGGTCCCGAAAGGGGCGGGCAGTAGTGGCTTCCCCTTTCTTGATTGCTTTGAAAAGGGGTGCCATCCCTTTGTCCTGGGCTCCCTGCAACCATGACTTATATGACTTGGACTGGGCATCCTTGTGAACTTTGGAGGCCAGAAGAAACTGCTCCTGCACTAGTTGCTGAGTGGGCTCTGGAACAGGATGCGGCTCCAAAAGACAGGTTTGAAGACTCGATTGAAAGAAAACGGCATCTTCCGGGCTTCCCTCCCAATAATCCGGGATTTGCGGCAGAAGTTCCCGGCATTGCTCTCGGCGTTTGGGGTGGTCACCCTGGCATAGGAATTGCACACGGTGCCAAAAAGCTTGGCGAGAGCCTTCCCAGGAGCGCCGGAAGAAATTCAACTTGGAGTTGGCGACCAATACCCTGAGTCTTTTGTAATAGACTGCTCTCTACCGAACTGGATATGGAAGCCAGGCGATTGCTCAGAGGGTCAGCTGAGAAAGTGGAATCTGGCAAGGAGGCGAGGATCTCCTCAACCTGAAGGTATTCCTGCGGCTGCTCCCTGAAGGATAGCACGAAAGAAGGAAGTTGTGGAGTGGTGAGCTGAAAAGCTCCCACATTGAGGCCAATTTGTATGGCTGCATGAGGCTTGAAAGGGACATCCCAGGAGGTTTCTACTCGGAGCAAACCTTCCAAGCACTGCGAGACAGCCAAAAAGTCAAGCTCATTATCACCACACGTGGCAGTGTTGGCCCCGATTGGTTCAAGGGACAGGCTTTGAAAAATTGCAGTGTCCAACATCTCCTTCAACGGCGAGTTCCAGTCCCCACCTATCAGGATTGGTCCTTTCACAGACTGTCGCATTGAGCGTAAGGAGGCAAGAATGTCTGAGTTGACCGGGGATCCAAAACCGGAGGAAGACTGGAGATACAGGCTGACTACTGTCAGGTCAGCCCCTTGTGTGCGTAGCGTCACCGCCACGTATCCACAACCTTGGTTGGTGTACTGGGCTCGCAAGCGGGCTCCCAGGTGAGCTCGAACTAAGACTCCAACTCCTCCCCGAGAGCTGTTCCGTCGGCCTTCTCCCGGGGCCGCGGGTAAGAGGAAAGAATCAAAGCCCATGGCCGCCATGGAAGCTATTTCAGCAACAGCTTGGGTTTCCAAAAGGTGGTGCTCCTGAATCAAGATTACATCCCCCTGAGCTGAAAACCATTGCTTGACTTCCGGCCTCCATGAAGTAATGTTACAGGATGTGACTCGCATTTGCCTGGGCCCCTTTGGCTGAGACTTACGCAAAACTTCCAAGCCACGAGCTACCAGCAAAAGCAAGGTCAAATCGAACGATCGTTGGAGGGCCGAAATCTCTTGGCACAACCACCACCCTAGGCTGCCCTGTTCAACCTGATCGAGAAGATTGCCGACCAACTCCGAAGTTGCTCCCAGCAGACCAGGGTTCTGGACAGCCGCCCACACCTGGCCTTCGAGGACTCTCCACTGGCTCTGGAGCTGGCTTGCTGGCGATGGCAACTCAGGAGATACCTCAAGAAGGGCGAGTTGAGGAAAGGGTTCCCGAATTTGCGGGTGACTCCCACCGCAAATTGGCTCCCGGACGACTGTAAGCGAGGGAATTCCTCAACTTGAGATGCCTTTGCTGAGGTGCTTGCCACAAAAGCAGAAGATGAAGAAGCACCTGTCAAAGGAACCTCGTCAAACTCAGTTGTGGAGAAAGACGGGGACCAAAAATAAGGCCCTGTGATACCTGGAGTGGCTAGGGACTGCGGCGAGGTCCCATGGCGTGATCCCTTAGCAACAGTCTGCCATCCACTCAGATCTCCAAAAGAATCCCATCCTTCCTCACCGGCAAGGCTAGGCGACCAAAATTGATCCCACACAAGGTCGGTGTGACAAAACTGTGAGTAAGCCTCAACATACCCGGAAACCTTATCTAAGGACTTGGGCTGCTGAGGTTGGCACTCCACCACTGGAAAAAGTTCGCTATACAAAGAGATGGGCCTTTGAACCGATTCGCCAAAAGAATCGCAGGGCTGAGAACTGGACGCAGGGGCACAGGAAAGGCCATGATCAAGCAGAAGGGCAGGCTGAAATGCACAAGCAAGATGCCCACGATCTCCACTTAAAAATCCTTCCTCGAAATCAGACCTAACCTGAACCCCCAGCCCAGCTCCCTAACCTTGCTGCGTGCTACGACCTCGGCTCCTGGACCTGGGCTTGCCTTGCTCATGCGACTCATTGCCCTTGTGCTCTGGCAGGCCTTGGCTCGGCGGAGCCTGGACCGGAGCACTCAAGGTTGGCTGGCCTGTGGCTTCGACTTCCATATTCTGTTGCCCGTCGCTCTGCTTGCCGCGCTGGGCTTCCTCATACAGCTCCTTCTGCTCCTGGGTCAAGACAATCCCAACTTTGGCAAGCGTCTCTAGAAGCCCTTCCAAAGGATCATTCTTGCGCGCGGGGTCCTCGAGACCCCAAGCATCATCACGGATAGTGGCTTCTAACTCAGACTGCATAGCCGTGACTTCGGCTTGCTTGCTTTGCAAATCAGATTGGCAAACCTTCATCTTTTCAAGCAACTCCTGGTAGCTTGCTTTGGCTCGGTCTATGTGAATCTGTAATGCGGCGGTTTGCTGGATCATCTGTCGCAATTCCGTAGTGCTCTGTTTGAAGCGACGTGTTGCACTCTCAATTTGCTGAGACTGCGTGGGGGCCGGCGGATCTAGCGCCGCAAGAGCTTGCTGGATCGAAGGCGGCAGAGACTCCAAATGCTTCTTGCAAAGGGCCGCAAGATCTGTTGGCTCTGACACCACGGGCTCAGGGATGCCAGCTTGGCGCATCAGCTTCTTCTGCTCATCAGACGCAGAGTCCCATAGACTCTTTGATGCTTCTGCCTGTTCGTCAAGCCCACCCTTTGCCCCCTTGCCTTTGCCGGACTGGAGGCCTGGTGGCGGACTCGGCTTCGGGCCAGCATGGAAACCTGCCTCGCTCAATTCTCTCTGGACTTCTGGGGAAAACTTCTGCCAGAGAGTCGTGACGGCTCTGGACAGGTTGCCCTCAGGATTCCTAGGCCTTTGGGGGCTCGGAGTGGCACTCTCAGTGGTTGCGTCTCTGTCCCTGTTCTTCTTGGGACCACGTGGGCGCAGTCTGTGAGTGACCGGAGCACCTTGTGTCTTCCACGCGTTGCCACACAGGTTGCAAAAGGGGTGATGCTGGACTCTGTCCACGAAAATCCAGCTCTGTTTACCCACCCTAGAGCAGTGAGGACAGACGATGTAAGGTGTTGCTGCACCTTTGGCACCGTGTTTGCCCCAAGTCATGGCGAGCAAGCTCAACCTGTGACAACGGCTGAGCAAGTATTCGACTCTGAGAGCACGTGCGGTATGGCGCTACCCCGCCCGACCCTTGCTGGACAGCCAGCCTACGACCTTTAAGGTTGCGGTTTGGGTTCCAGTCAGGGCCTTTAGCAAAAGCAGCGACTCCAGGCTAGGCCACGTCGGCACTGCAAAGCCTGAGCCGAAAACTTGAGCCAGGATTGAAAATCACGCTCGAGCGGCGAAGCGCTGGGCTGAGCCCGGTTTGAGTCAGGGGTGAGACAGAGGAAGGAGAAAGAGAGAGAGAGGGGGAAAGGAGAGTGTCAGAGGGGAGTCACCTCACCCTAAGACTAGTCCACTTTGGGAGCGGCGAGGTTCTCAAAACCAGTCTGACATCAGGTGATGCCCTTGAGCAGCACCCTCGGCACAGACTGGTCGAGCTCACCTGCCTACGGCGGTTACCCTGCAGCCTACCCGAAAGGAGTCACCTCACTTTGAGCTAGGCGGTAACCAAGGAGACAAAGGAGGTTACTCACCTTGAGTAAACTGTTTGTTACCCAGCAGTCTGAAGAAAGGAGTCTGGGACTTCGGCAGGTACTGGTCTCCATTGCCTCACTTTGGTTGGACCGGTAACAGAGAGCAAAAGGGAGTTTCCTCACCTTGAGCGGACTAGGACCAAATTGGCTCGTTAAATTAGGGAAAGGAACGATTTGGGGAGACTCCTCACCCATCGCTGCTTGACATGCAAAGGCCACACACCACGGGGAGGCACCTCACCGTGTGTGTAGGAGTAGACCTTAGTAACCTCAGGGAGGCACCTCTCCCTGTACTCAAGGTCCTAAAGCAAGAGTGGTGAGCTCCCACAAGGGAAGAATTGAGGCGCAGCAGAGGCGGCACTCCACTGGGCACTACTCATCGAGACCCAAGTGCTTGAAACGGAGGGAGACTCTTCACCTTGAAACAAGGCACAGCCCGAGCATTGGGAACTCCCTACCTGTGAACGAAAAACCAGCAGATTGACCTGGGCAGCATGCACAGAGGGAGAGAAGGAAAGGATGAAGGGAACTGAAAAAAGGCCGCTGCCCCTCAACGCGGAATTTGGCGCAGGGCCGACGCCAACCCCTCATTGTCGGCAAGCCAGTGGCGCGGGGTCCACGCTTTCCCCTAATCTCAACTTCGTGGTGGTGCGGGGAACCACGGAGATGCTCACAGTCACTGCAGCCCTCCTGACCACTGCACAGCCCCAGTGACTAGCCTGCAGCAACTGGGCGGAGAATCCCTGGCAACAGAGAAAACCTCCAAGAGCTGCTGACGCAGGAGGCCTGCCCGGAAGGCAACGCAAGGCCCCAAGCAAAGTCACTCAAAACCCTTAAAACTATCAGAGCAAAATCAAAGAACAAACGGGTCAACCAAGCATGAGTCCCCAGTCTCTCCTACCTGCCGCCTCTGGGGCTAAGGCAACAAGCGGCCGGAAAACTCACTAGCAAGGGTCCCTAAACCCAAATAAATGCAAGGGGAGAAATCTCACCCTGAAATGGAGATACCCATCGTCGCCCTTGCAGCCAGAAAAGCTCAAAGGGCCCGGTGGGCTATCGCAGCAAACCTGACAAGCTGCAATGCTCCAAGAAGCAGGGCTGTGAGAAACCCTGGCTGGGTAAAACTAACACACAGGACCTCCAACACCAAACCCAGCCTTGGCGATAGAGGCCTGTGAGGAAGCAGCAGGGGAAGTGCCTCAAACTTGCTTAGCACCAAGCAAGGCCGGCAGTCAGCAGGAGACGACACGACCAAACAAGGCACAAGACCGGCTGCAACAAATTGCCTACTCAAACCGCGGCAAAGAACTTAGGAAGGACAATCCTAGCATCGGCTGGCTTGGGAAACTGCACTCCAGACGGGGGAAATGACGAAAAAGCCGCCAAGTGTTAGTGATATGCAAACCTGGAGCGTTCAATCCTGCTGGCGCAGCACGGGCTAGCAAGCCTGGGCTCCGAGAGTAAGGCAAAGGCCGTGAGGGAACTCACACACAAGGATACACCAAAACTTTCAGAGAGAGAGGAGATCCAGACAGCCGCTAAGCCGACCTCTCAACTCCGTTTTGCCTCAACCAATGTCTGTCACTAGACACGTTGTGTCAGCCACCTGCAGGCGAGAGCTCAACCTAAGCGTTGCGACCTGCGGGCTGACTACAACTGCCTGGCGAGTCTCCACCTTGGACAGTCACAAGACAGACTAAAGGAAAAGCTACAACTACAGCCTTGAGCCAAGAGTGGTGCTTTACTTCGCCGAGAAGAACCTCAATCTTTGGGCACATCCGCTAGGGAAGATCCAACCAAAGACTGTCTACCGGCCCAGGCAAACTGCCTCAGGATCACTTCAGCCGGACTGGCGAGGAAGGATCTAAGGTGTGCCTTGGACACTCCTAGGCACGCTGCGGAATCGAATCTTAGCCGAAAGGCGAGAAAGAAGCCAAAGGTGCCATGGGAGGAGTTGATTTTCAATCCTATAATGGTGCCCCTGTGTCTCGCCAAGGTCAGGAACACTTTCCGTTTTCTCCTTTGTGAGTTTTAGAGAACCTTAGGTGTAGCTGTGAACGGTACAGAGGGGGGCCACTCAAGCGAAGCTAAAATTGCTCAGACTATTCGACCCCACATTTGGAGCCGCCTGCGCTGACCACTTTCACAAAGGCCTTCGAGGCTTCACTTGCGGGCGCTTGAGGCCTGCTGAGGCCATAGAGGTGGATTTTTGACAGCAACATGCACCTCGAGTCTGCAAGTTCCAAAAGAGACAAGCAACCATGAAGCAATCCCAGACTCCGATTACATGATGGAACTGACTTAAAGAGCAACAGATTTGACGGAGATGAAGATGCAACCCCGTTTTGCAATGGGGGGGTCCCGCAGTTAAGTGCATTTCTCAAAATCCGTAGCATCCGCCGACCTTCTCGATACAGAGGGGGAACCACCATGTGTCCCCAGAAACTACGCATTGGGAGGGTAGCTGGAACAAGACCAGATTTTAAGCCACTGACCTCCGAACGGACAAGAACCTGACCATCAGAAACGGTTGTACTGCTGTGACACCGGCACGCCGACAAGGCCACCGCGGCACATCCCCCTCCCCCAAATCTCAATGTTTGGAGCAGCACGGCCACAAAGCCCTGCGCAAGCAGACGACACGCACCTCCGAGCAGACGACATCATTGAAATGGAGGGGGGGGGGGTCCGTACATGCAACACAACAGTCTATGACGTCGCGTCTGTGAACCCTGCCAACCCCTACCGTCTGGAGGAAGCTCTCGCATCCCCAGCAAGCCTACTGTCCGACTGGAAACATGCGGAGTTGGAAACTCATCTTGTCACTCACACGGAGCAGAAGAGGCTGCGAGCATCGCGACGTCATGGCCTAACAGATTCCTCTGGCAGAAAGTGTCCGGAACCTCGTTTTTCCATATGGCCTAATGGATTCCCTCTGGCAGAAAGTGTCCGGAACCTCGTTTTTCCATATGGCCTAATGGATTCCCTCTGGCAGAAAGTGTCCGGAACCTCGTTTTTCCATATGGCCTAATGGATTCCCTCTGGCAGAAAGTGTCCGGAACCTCGTTTTTCCATATGGCCCAATGGGTTCCTGTGGCAGAAAGTGTCCGGAACCTCGTTTTTTCATATGGCCTAATGGATTCCTTATGACCTATCCTATGGCCTAACCTATGGCCTAATACACCTTCCCTATGACCTAATCATTTCCGTGTGGGAAAAGAAAAGATTGTATTCCTAAAACGCGAAAATGATTAGGTCATAGGGAAGGTGTATTAGGCCATAGGTTAGGCCATAGGATAGGTCATAAGGAATCCATTAGGCCATATAAAAAAACGAGGTTCCGGGCACTTTCTGCCACAGGAATCAATTAGGCCATATGGAAAAACGAGGTTCCTGACACTTTCTGCCAGAGGGAATCCATTAGGCCATATGGAAAAACGAAGTTCCGGACACTTTCTGCCATAGGGAATCCATTAGGCCATATGGAAAAACAAGGTTCGGGACACTTTCTGCCGGAGGGAACCCATTAGGCCATATGGAAAAACGAGGTTCCTGATTTTTTCTGCCACAGGGAATCGATTAGGCCATATAAGGAACAACGAGGTTCCGGACACTTTCTGCCAGAGAGAATCCATTAGGCCAGAAAGTTCCGGACAGGTCCTGCTACGCAGAGGACATCCAGTAGGCAGATAGAGAAACGACACTCCAGGCTCCTTCGGCCTGGGAACCCATAGGCCATCAGCAAACCCAAGCAGGCAGCCTTTAAAGGCGTTTTGAAAGACAGAAAGAAGATGAATATGGCTGGTGGCCTCCTTTTTGGCAGCATTCAAAGCTTTTCGTTCCTGCTTATGAGTCGCTCCACGCGATCCACCAAGGAGTTCTCCATATGATCAGAGGAGGGCGAAAGCACAACAACGTCGAGCCACGAACAGAAAGAAGATGAACATGGCCCATCCGCAAGGACACAATGCTAGAACTCCAGAAGACTACTGTGGCGATGGTTTGGAAACCTAGACCAGGCTCCAGCAGACTTTGCGAAGACACATCACAGTTCCTGTGCAGTACAGAGAGTCTGCATGGCTTGATCTGCTGTATTCAGAAACGCTGGAGTCACCTCTGGAAAAATTTCCCTGTCTTTGTACGATCTCTGTTTTGGTTACCTCCATAAAGCTGCATAGTCTGGCCGACGAGTTTGCAAAACCAAAAGGGAAACGTTGAAGCCACGTCGGTCAACTTCCCAGAGCTTGAACTACGACTCCCATCCACAGAAAGAACACCAAAAATCCGCGCGGGTCAACTGGCGAGCCCGCTGCACTGCCAGGACGAAGCCCACGTTATGGGGCTGTCGGGCGACCCCATTTCCAGGCCCGCAAAACACAAGCAATTCTGGCTTCGCCAGGTCGGCCCTCCACAGTTGCATTCCGCTGGCTGCAGCAGCAGCAGCAGCAACAAGGGCAAGCACACAGCTGC